GTGCACACTTATTTCACATTAAATGTCTGCAAAAGCGAGCTCTAAATGATAAAATTCTTATGAGAATTTGGAAAACATGTTATAAATAGATTATAAAACAACATTCAACCAAACAATTTTCTAAAAACGTGTACACAGTACAAGAACTGATTGCTTTAAGCAGTGTTTTAATTTAACAGACCTAAAATATAATTGTCATTTGCTTGATGAGACAAGATCTTTCTACTCTTTCAAAACATTAAGCAGTCTTGTGCCTTTGTTTTTGACACAATTAGATCATTTTTGCTTCAAATCAAAATTTCTAATGCGATTCATTTCCTAGTGGGCTGGTTTGGCTCCTAACCCACAACACTTTAAACAAAGACTAGCCTACTGTAATTTCCTGAAACCATTGCTTTTGAAAAAGTGAGCAGCCACTGTTTGATGTGTATTATTTACTTATTCAAATAAAGGACCATAAACATTAACTGTAGACTGACATTCCCTTATGTATTCACTATACAAATCACAAAAACACTGAGCATATCCTTTGTTAGCATACTTGTTATACCGCATACTTTCAAGTGTTGTGTGAAAACCATAGATACCCAATATAGGTTAATGGGTGACCAAACTAGACAATAAATTACTAGCAAAGCACATTTAAGGCAGTTAGTTTAGTATATCGTTAAAATCACGAATACCACAAACCAGTGAGCCTCATCTCGTCATACTGAAACGATACGAAACCTCAATACAAAGCTAGCGACACTGTCTCTCAGCTTTTTAAGAAAGACTTGCTTCGCTTCACTATACTGTATAAGGACTGCGTCTTAAAACTTACTAAGACACCTGCCAAGAAAGCATTTTTGGGTATCCCAAGCAGTTCAGCGCACCCACGATACGCAAAAAACGCTGTCTAAGAAGGAAGCTCAAATGGTTTTGAGACACAGCCACGGTCTCACGTAATGTGCTGCGGGGGTAAACGTGAAAAGCGTGGTCCTCATAAGGAAATCACACTTTAGTGTGGTTAATTATGATGATTAAGACAGGTGTTAACTAATATTTGAACCGTTGTTCGCCAGCATGAGGTTTGAAGACCGCAGCCACCCCCTCCGCCATGGCTAGCAACAGCTTGCCTCACCCACTAACTCTCCGCCATTTTGTCTCCTCAATAAACGTCTCCATCTTCATATGCCATTCTGTAGTTACCCCAATATCACATCGACAGAATAAACGGATAGCGCAAATCAAAGAAACGACGCCTTTAAAGGGCAATTGGAGATCGGTCGGCCATTTACAAACTGCTTGACAAGTTTAACCGCGAATTAAAACCAGCTAACCCGACCGTCAGTTAGCTTGCCTGAACATTCGCTTTGTAAAAAAAATATAACGTTCCCGTTACCTCTCAGTGCCCCTTACCGTCATATCTCTCTGCCTGCTCGGCGAGTTTGGCTTGGTACACCAAATCCTCCCGGTCACCCATGTTGGAGAGCGCGCAGGAGCGTGTTTCGTGAGCGATTGGGAGTAAAGGAGGAGTGTGAGTTCACCGGCAGGCCCTGCGCGAGCAACAGCTGCGGCTTGAATGGTGGAGTAAAGATGGCGTTACACCTTCATCCGGGCACTTTCACTCAGAGCATCTCCACACACTCCCTCTCTCTCTCACTCACTCGCCTTACCAATGCTAGATTTTAACCCTCTTTATTTGAGCGGAGTGTGGATGCTGTGTGGTTTTCCTTACATTTCTTTTTGTGAATATGCGTTGCGTATTAAAGTGGCATTATATTTTACAGAAATTATAATACCACTGAAAACAGTTTAATCTTAAGGGACTCATCCAAACATGAGCATCCTGTCATCATTTGATGACACTCATGTAGCACTGTGGAGTTACATTACATGAAATACATTTGTGAATAAAAGCAAATGCCATACTTTTTAAAATAGCTAATTTAACACAGTATTCCTGGATTTAATTGAACTATCGTAGTTCACCCACATGAAATAGTATGCATTTTGAAATATGGCCTCAGTGTTTGGTCCACACAATGAAAGTAAATAAAAAAACAAGATTGTTTGGTTACCAGCACGTTAAAATGAATCCAATATCCCTTAAAAAATTTAGTCATGTTTTAATTGAAAATTAAATTTGTAAAACAATGGTTAAAATGTGCTTGATATGGTATGAATACTATTTGTTTAAAAAGGTGATTTTCATAGGTCATCCACAGAAAAAAAAAAGACATACAGGTTGCAAATAATATTAGAGAAGAATATGTATATTTTAGGTAAATTTAACCAGGATTCCAATACTCTGGGGCAGTGTTTTTCAACCACGCTCCCGGAGGATCACCAACACTGCATGTTTTGGATGTCTCTGTTGTCTGTGACACCCATTACAGGTATTTCAGCCTCTGCTAATAAGCTGATGATATGAATTAGGTGTGTTTGGTTAAGGAGACATGAAAAATGTTCTACAGTTCTACAGAAACAGTTCTAGGGCCAGTGTCCTGGAGAGTTTAGCTCTAAACCTAATCTAACACATCTGAAAAAGCAAATCAAGACCTCATTAGATATACTACAAACTTGCTTGCAGGTGTTTTGAAGCAAGTTGGAGCCAAACTCAGAAGGACACTGGCCCTCCAGGACCAAGTTTGGACACCCCTGGTTTAAACTTTACACAACACAGAAATGTTAAAATGCCACTCATTGTATTTGATGCATATGGTAATAATAAATATGACACTATACATTAAATATCTGGTACAATTTTGTGATATTAAACTGGTCCTAGCATTGTAATTACATTAATGAAAACTAAAAAAGTGCAGTGGGTAGCACTGTTGCCTCACAGCAAGAGGCAAGGTTCAAGCCTTTTTTTTCCTCCACATGTCCAAAGACATGCACTATAGATGAATTGTCTCTAAATTGTCAATAGTGTATGCGTGTATGGGTGTTTTCCAGTGATGGGTTGCAACTGGAAGGGCATCCGCTGCATAAAACATATGCTGGATAAGTTGGCAGTTCATTACGCTGTGGCGACCCCAGAATAATAAAGGGACCAAGCTAAAAAGAAGACTACTAACTAAACTAAATAACTCCACCAACAAAAAAAATGTAGGTTAGTCTGGTAATACATATACCTACTACTAGGGCAATAAATTACTGACAGAGGCAAAATAAAAGTCTTGAGTAGCATTACTATGGGGTCAACTTTATTTCATGTACAGGAATAAAACTTTTAACAAAACCGTAGGACTTTTTCGTGTGACTCGAAACACTGTTCTGACAGACTTGGATGCACATAAAGGATAACACAAGATTAATTTCACAAAATTACTGTGTTGATATTTAGGTTCTAAACATAATACTTTGGGTACAATTTAATGCACAGACAAGACTTGCGATTCGATTATTCATTCAACTCAGTCATAGACGAAAGTGATGCTTTTTATGACATGAAACCATTCTCACAGGACACAGACGAGAGAGTTCAGACTGACGAGACTCCAACTTTGCTTTTGTGACTGATTTTAGTGATCTAATTTCATCAAGGTCATTCCTGACTCAAACATAAACAATTAAGAAGACAGATCATGTACATCAAAGTCCTTCATAATTACGACTTGTGACAATTACATAACATGGCCGGCTTGCTGTCACATCTTGACAACATACAGCTAACCTACACACATACACGACATAGCTTTCTAACATTAAGGTATGACAAAACAGAAGAGTTTCCAGGTGATTGTCATTGTTACCAAACAAAGTTAGTCAACTTTTTTCCTTTTAAAAGTAACAACAAATAAAGGTAAAGGGTAAAAGCATTAAGATTTGATAGTGTTGTTCTGGCAGCCTGTCTATTAGAGTAATCATTTGTTCAGACATTCGGCTTCTATCTCTGAATATGTTGTTCAATAGTAATGGAATTAGGGTAAAAAATACAATTAAAATATTTTGCAAGACCAAAACAAAACATTCTCCTCTCCCTTCCCCCACGTTTTGCATTTAACTAATTAGGCTAAAGACATTGCTGATTTGGTCATAGACAACAATCTGCAATTAAGGCAGGCCATTAGGATAGCAATGTCTTATTTGGGGATTAAATGTGAAAATACATTACATTTCTAGCATTGAGACAGATAACATAGGCATGATGGAGACTGATGTTTAAAAATAAAATCAATACATATACCAATCGTAGAGAAAGGCTACTCATATGTGCAAAATCAATTGAGCAAAACACATTTGAGGCATTAGGTCAGGTTAATGTGACACTTTATAAAATCCTACCACATTATTATATTAATAATGGGTTGATTTAGAAAGATCATAACATAGTTTTGGACCACTCTATATGAGAGATTCACTACAACCACCACTTGTATTTTCAACCTTGGCAAAGGGAAGTTTTGGCAAAAACACATTGGCTATTTTGAGTGTAAATATCACAATATTGGATTCTTATTTAGAAACAACAACAAAAATCAAATGAGTCTACCGTATGTTGAGGAATTGAGTCTAGCATTAGAAATTAGGGTTACACATTCAACAGATTCTCATTTAGTGTAATACTTCCAAGTACAGCAATAATGGTAAAAGGAGCAAGTAGCGTTTCCTGATATTATATAATGAAAATGTAGTAAAACAAAAGTTACTTAGCGGTAGTGAATAATGACGCATCTTGTATACATTACACATGTGCATAAATAAAACAAGGCGGTGAGGGTTCGGGCTTCTCCATCTTTCATATATAGTGTACCGCCCTAGTAGGAACCGCTTCATGACACCGTTGGGTGGCGCCAAGCTAATCAAAAAGACTAAAAACTATTCAAAGCTCATTTGTTCTGGATATTTTCATGTAGTTTGTAGTGTGAAAGCCGCTGTGTTCTAGGACACCAAGTAGTGTTTGCTACCGCATTCAAAGAAGCAAAGGAACAGTCCCTTGTTAAGACACCAAAAACCGCTCATGTTTTAAGTCCACGTAGGCTTCTTCATCTTCTTCTTTTCTCAGTTCACAAGAAGCCCCACACTAATGCTCCTCTCTCTGTAGTGTATGGTGTTGTATGTGAAATTTAGTGTTTACTTGGTAAATATCTTTAATTATTGCATAAAACCTAACAAGGGAATTGTGTACATTGGCATGAGACACAATGGCACAAGGTAATGATGAGGCGGACAGGTAAAGGGCAGTAGTGAGGATGTGTGAGGAGCCGGAGTGTGTGTATGTGTGTGTGTGTGTATGTGTGTGAGTGTACATCTAAGGGCTGCTAGGTAAGACAGTCTGCTCTCTCAGCTTAGTTCGTCCTCTGGATTGTGCTGGTCCAGCAAGCGGACGTGGGTAAAGGGAAAATGGCCATGCTTTCCCTTGCACTCACCCTCCCACTGCCCGTTTACATTGATCTTGGTCACCTTTACCATGTCGCCGACCTAAAAAATCCAACAACAAAAGCGTTTGTTAGTATGATGCACAAAATAGCAAACTTTAGAAAACCTAGTTCCACTAGGAGGCGCCTATACTATAAATGTTTTTATAAAATGTTAAAGTAACAGTTTACAATTAAAACAATTATTCCAAAATGTACTTTTAGATATGCTTTTTGCATTTCAGATGAAGCAGATCATTGTATCAAATTATAAAGTAGTTTTTGAAGCTCCAAACCCAAATGTTTGATTAAAGTAATCTATATTAATTGTGGATTAATGAATACATTCTAAAGATAATTAGCATGTTTTCGTGAGAAAAATAACCATATTTTAAAATCTATAACTCATCATTGACTTCTGATAGGTCAACAAAACAATTCAGAGCTAAAGCTGCGGTCACACTGCACTTTTCTCCCCATAGACTTCCGTTCATACGTACGCGAATGCATCAGACCAGAAACACAAGCTTGTGCGACAAGATTCGCAGTTCTATGTGTTGGAAAGTTCAAGCTTGGTGAACTCTGACCTGCGAAATCGCATCACATGACTGCGTAAGAGCAATTGAAGATCAAAACATGACCTCTTAGAGGAGAGGAATTTAAAACAAGGACCAATAACTTGCTTTTTTTAAATGTCTAATTATCTTATTTAATCTCGCCCCTTTTCGCAGCACCGTAGAACAGAATCTCGCACGCACAAACTCTAGTGTGACCGCAACATAACTCATAGGCATCATTTGTTACTTTAGCTTCTGCTACAAACTGTGATTTAGCAAAAGCTGCAGCTGTTATACAGATGTTGTCAGGGAAGCTCTGTTCTGTGATCAGTAGTAAATCTCCATTTCAAGGCCAGTGGGCGCTCTCGTGTGAAAATTAAAAATGTTAAAGAAGAAACCCAATTGAATCCCTAAAGTCGCCTTTCCACTGCACAAGACATTTGGACATGACTGTCGGAATATGCCCCCTTGTGGCAGTCGCACAGAATTTTCTGTTTTATCATGCACCATGAGAGAGAAGCTGTTCTCGCAGTGTCTGAAAAAGTGTTTTTATTTTCCGTGCATTCACCATGGTTGAATGAATTAATACTAGAAAATCATAGACCGCTAAAAATTTTGAATAAATGAAAAAAACTAGTATTTCTCATTTTGCGCACTCGAACCTGCTTGGACAACACTGGAATTCATCACATCCAGTCGGCCGGTCGCATACGAAGATGATTGAAACGCCATGCAGCTCTGGGCTACTCTCCATTGGAAATGATTGACTTCCGGTCTGTCACAGGTCGTGTGCAGTGGAAAGGCGGCATAAAGCGGTTGCAGAATAAATAGGAGATTTAAAGAAAAAACTCAAAAAAATTGATTCAATGTTACGATTGATTGATTCATTGAAAGATTCAATGTCCTTGACATTTTTTCTTTGAAAACACACAGCTACAACAATGTGGTGTAATTGAGTTGTAATTTTTCTGATAATGAAGTACATAAAAATGCAAGAATACAACGAAATCTTATGCATGCTTTACTGTGCATTTACACCGAAAGCTGGGAGAGCATCAAAGTAGCCCGAGGTCATTCACTTTCAATGAGAGCTGGTGGCGATAAGCATAGAGGAGCAGCGTGTTTTCGTTGACGTCGAGGAATGTTTAAATCAAGTCAACTTTACTGCAATAAGCTATGACACGGTTCGAGGGCAAGCAATCAGAATGTAGAAGTTCACCGCTTGAGATGAGTCCAGAGAACACAGTCCTGTAAACTTTGATTCCGACCACAGTTGTTCCCAAGGGTTTTAGTATTGCAGTTGCAATGTTTTTTTTACAGGGACTTAAATACAATTTTTTTTTTTTAAAGTTACTGATGTGCATTAATTAATTTTATTTTATTTCGTACGGGAAATGCATGCTAACTAACGACAGTACAAAACCGTACTGCTGCTTCAGAATATTTCAGACATTTGGACACATATTGGATAAGTGGAGGAAAGCCACTGCACATACAACAACTGGATCTTCTGTAGTTAAATGAATTTACTAAAAAGCTGCGCAACATTTTCTTACTAAAATACACATTTTTATGTGGGAACGTAACTAATTTGCTGATATGCTGCAACGGCTCCTTTAAATACGGGGTTAATGTATCGATTTTTGACGCTCTCGCCGCTGGAACTGTGAAAGCCAGAGAGAACTCTGATGCTCTTGCGCCTTTGGTGTGAACACAAAGTTATTGAACAGAAATAGCCACATTATCTCAAAGACAAATTGGAAGTTAAAACATGTTAAATGTGGTATCTTTATTTGATTTTAGATGTAGCTGCATTTACCAAACAGATCATGAACTATGAGTAACTAGTAAATGGTGCTCCATTTGAAAGCTGGAGATATACTACTGACCACAGAGCTGGCTTTTACTCACAAAACGACGTGCATGAACATTGTGTTTAAATAATTGTGCAGCTCCAGTTTATATGAGCTTATAATCTTTTAAATAAGCATTTTTTTTCTTTCAAAAACTTAACACTTTGCTTCAGAAAATATTAAATAACCCACTGAGCAGTATGAATGACTTATAACACATTAATGTGCTTTTTTGAAGCAAACATTGTGTACATTTACTTGCAATTCAAAGCTAAGTCACATTAGTGTTTGTCAGGAATAGGACATATAGTAGTCCACATTTAAAGTAGATCAAATAAAGTTCTGACAATCATGGCAAGAATGGATGTTGTTAAATAGGACTATTTTAGTACAACTTAAAATGGAAGGTTTTGATCCACTTCAAATGCTGACTACTGGATACATCTAGAATAACTTGAAGGTTCATAAATGATGCAATATTTTCATTTTTATATTTATTAATATCTCAGAAAAGTTTACATTTGTTACCTCCAAAGCAAGAGCTGTCTTATCATAGGCATTGGGGACTCTCTTCTGAATCGCCCTGGCATAAACTGGGCCATTCTGTAGATTGGGTAAGGATGTGGGCTGGGCGTATTGGCCCGGTTCACCAAGCAGAGGTGGAGACTGAGTGCTGTGGCCGTCAGAGTTGCCGTGAGCACCGGACCCACTGACTGATACGCCAGGTGCACCTGATGTCGGTGAGGCAGGTCGGTACTTCTCCACATAGGGCACAGGGATCATGCCAACACGGCCTTCTGAATTCTGAGCATTCCACCATTGCTCCTCTGGCTTCTCCAGCACTCGAAGAACATCACCCTTTCGAAATGGAAGGTCCTCGTCGTCGTTGCCGGGAAAGTCGAAGAGAGCTCTGACGTACTCCTCTTCTAGCCTCGGAGGAGCTCCTCCTGTCCCCGCATTGACGCTGATGAAAGACGAGTGCTTGGATTTGCTAATGGGCTCAATGAGAGTGGTGGTGTCCAGGTAGTGGATTTTGTAGAACTCCAACAGGGCAGGTAAGGCATCAAATTCCTGATCTCCAATCCGGAACCGAGGAGGAGCAAGCCCTGCGGGATGACATTATGAGATGATGGATGGATAATCAAGATCTGCTTAAATTTAAAGGTGTAGCTCAGCAAAAAATTCAATTTTTTCACAATTACTCATCATAATGTTAACTTGAAAAAAAGTTACTGAACATAGGAATTTGGTAGGCATTTTATTTCTAATATGGAGGTATAAATGGCTACTTAATTACAACATTCTTCAAAATATCTTCTTTTGTGTTCAACAGAAAAGAGAAACTAATATAGGTTTAGAACTTTTATCGGGGTGTACATTTGAACTGAACTCTCTCTAGAGTTCAGAGATCTGATAAGTGTTGCAAATACTACATAGTATAACAATGTAACATTTTATGGGTTCAACCTATGGGAAAAGCAGCAAAAAAGATTGGAAATTAAATATTGCTGATCATTTCTGCAAACAAAAAAAGTGAGTTTATGTTATAAAAGTGATTCACATGACCTATAATAATGCGTGTAATTCAAATGAATGACAGACACATAACTAATAAGATTGTATTTGTTATATAAAAAGTTGATAAGGTGAGACATGTATGTCGGAGTAAGAATGTAATGAAGCAGCGGTTTTAAAATAAGGGTCAAACTGAAATAAACGAGCATTTAGTCAAGATAAATATGCACAAATTAATATAAACAAACAAATAAACAAACCAAGAACACAAAATTATAAAACACGATTCAAACGAAGCAAAATGTAAGTACATAAAATAAAGATACTTCTAAGAATCTGCTAACGTGTGAACAATTGAATAACTATGTTAAATAATGACACATATAGCAACTAAACGTTTCCTATATTATATTATAAAACGAATTTGTATACAATTTTCACATAACAAATCTGGCATCATACACGAAAGCATATAAAATCATTTTACACCCGAGAATGATATTTGGGGCCCGTAGAGTGTACAAGACCGAACCCCTGGTTACACAGCACACCAGAATGACGCGAGATTTTAGACTGAATATGCACAACTATTCGTAGTATAGAAGTTTCATCGAGCTGCTAAGCGCTTTGCTAAAGCAGTATTTATCCGTCCTGTCGTTAATAGTATTTAAATACATTTGTTCAAACGCTTACCTGGTCCTGACTGGCGATTGCTGCTGATGCTGTTTATTATGTAATGAGAGACTTTGGAGTTCTCCGACACAGACAGCACGTAGTCCCCGGGAATAGTGATCGAGTCCCGCACCAGGAACACTCCATGCCTCTGCCCTTGGAGCAGCGAAACCGCCTCTTGCCGGCTTAATCTCCCCCAATACCAGCTCCCTCGGTCCTCCGAATCAAAATTTCCGGCCATGACTAGCGCTAGAAAAAAGCCCAGGCTTCACAGGCCTTCCCTTCGCCTCTCCTTATCCGCAAGCAGCGTTCAACTCATGCAAAAACTTTACCGCGTTCCGTTGTTGAACACGTTTCGAATACGCGCAGCATTCGCACACTTTTCAACGCTTTTTGGTCCAATCGATTAACAAAACAATTGACGTCGGTATTCCAACGTGCATGGGACGCAAAAACCGCGGCTATTCACCCAGAACTTCTGATAATTGTCCAGTGTAAACCAAAACGTACATTGGAAGTTGTCACAAGGAAGTTCAAATATTTCAAATGGCGGACAAGGGAAACAATTTTTGACCTTATTTCCCGGAAGTGATGCAATAGCCGCCGACGCGGATGGTGTCTGTTGGTGGTCATATTGGTGCGGTCAATATTGAAAGTAAGGCCTTATCTTGTATCATTATGGAGTTTCACTCTTTTTTTAACACCAACCGTTTTATTTATTTTTAATTTATGTAATCGTATTTTGGAATTGTTCATATGAACACAATTATAACTTCTGAATTCACATTAGTTATACTGATCAATTTGCATCGCATTAATCTTTGTATTAATCCAAATTCCGCTAAACATAACAGTTTTGTTAAATTCTAGTGAGAGGTTCAAGTGGCTGGTCCAAACAGGTTGTTAACCAGTCCAAGCTGGCTGACCCCGAAATTACCTGAGCAAACAAACATAGTGTAAGTGGTCTAGTCTACTAAATTTAACAAATTAGACATCCCTTTAAAACATAAGTTAAATATGCTTTTCATCAACCATATTCGCTAATTTATTTAAAGGTCGAAAGTGCTATAAATTATTACAAAAAAACGGAAGTGCGTAAACACTGTCCTTTACAAGCGAGTCCACAAAATGAGCAACCACTAGATGTCGACATCGATTACTAATAGTTTGTAGTCTTTCTACCAGTCTCACCCAGTTGCAATTCAGCTCTCAAATGGTCTAAACAAACATATTGACGACCAACATTATTCGTCGCGTAACGCATAAATGAAGTGTATATTTGTTAAAGGTTTATTGGTTTTGATACCAACAACAGTCAAACACATTTTGATTTGTTTACAAATAATCATACACATATTGCTGTTCCGGTTTGTCATTCCTTGCATTTCCCTTGGTTCATTAATCATTGTGGGAGTACAGAAATACTGACCAAGTCATTGTTCACAGCTCTTCAGTGCACTTTTATCGATATATATTCCGTAATGGCACAACTTGACTAAAAGATATGGCTTTGAAACACAGCAGGAGATTTTGAGGCTACCTGTTGACCATGAAATGACATGATAAATTGAAACATATTGGTCACCTTTACAAAGGCTACTAAACCATTCATGTAGGTTAATAAACCGTAATTTGAAGATGGAGCTTAGAAAAACACTGATCATATAAGCCATAGTTCTCAAACTGGATTCCTGGAGGGCCACCACTCTGCATAGTTTTGCTCCAACCCTAATCAAACACAGCTGATTCAACCAATCAAGGTGTTTAAGACTACCAGTGACTATGAAGCAGGTGAGTTGGAAGTGGTAAAAGCTAAACTATGCAGAGCTGTGGCCCTCCAGAATTGAGTTTGAGACTACTGATATAAGCTATTATGATGTGATGATGTTAACGCACTATAGTATTTTCACTTAAGTGAATTCAAAATAATGGGTAATTAATTAAGACAAATCTAACTTTAAAATGTCTAATTTTCATGAAGACAAATCTAATCAATACACTGTAATTTACAGGCATATTTGAACTATTTTGAATTACGTATATGAATAATGTGAAATTTTAAGTAGGCACTAAATATAGGTATATACTAAACACTTTATCATTTTATTATCAGTGGATAAATAGAAATGAAATCTTAATATCATTTAGAGGTTAAAGGATCTATTCTAACAAACAGAGAAATCTCACATCTCTTTAAAATCCATGTCAAGCAGCAACAACAGAATATCAGTATTACAAACCAATGCGTAGCCAAACAACAATTCCATGCAGTGAGTCTTTTCTCTTTGGCTTCAGTCCTGCTGCGTTTCCCAACAATCATGTTGTTCTTAGGCCAACACTGACAAAAGATTTTGGTTTTCCACGGTATAAATTAGGGGCACTTAATACAAGGATCTACGTCCCATCCACCTGATACTTGGGACATGCATATTCACTGGACTGAATAAAATTGAAGTTGTTTTCCACTGCTAGAGAGAATGTGATGCTTGTGCCTGTCAGATGCATAGATGTACACACCGATTCACAGCTCCATTCTGCTTGAATCCAACATGTTAAAGTGCCCCTGTTTTGCTTTTTCACATTTTAAATTTCATGTAATGTGTGATCTGTTTTTTGCAATTAAAGGGTCTGAATTAATATGATAAAACTTTTGAAATGGTACATAATATTAGTTGAATCCAGAGGTAAAACTGTAGAAATGGAAATGGCTGTTTAGTTTTTGAGAAGCGCTGTAAGTGGTTGACCAATCACAACAGACTGCGGGGAGTAACCAATCAGAAGAGTGAGTTCTCAGACAGGAGGGGTTTAAGAACATAACTGTTTCAGACACTGTGGCCCAGTCCCCAATGGCAACTTAAACCGAGTCAGCACTTCGGTAATGAAATGCCACTTTGACTGATTGGTTTAAGTCTGCATGGTGATCGTTTCATTGCGGGGCTTAGAAGTGCACATCAAGGGCTCTTAACGGCTACAAAGGGAGCAGTTGCACCCTTCTGAAAGCTAAATTACAGACTTTCATACTTGGTAGCTACAGAAACTAGCTTGCAGGGATGGTTCCCAGGGAACTAATTTTTCCGGGACTATTTTCCTAGGTTCCAACAGGAGCTCCTAAGTGATATATGACAGCTGGGATCAACAACAAGTCAGTACCTGGGGGATTGAGGATGCTGTAATTGAAGCTATGTTTTCACTGTGTTTTGTGATAATAGAGATAGAACATAGATATATCAGTTTTATGATTGCAACAGTAAAAGCATTAATAAATCACCTGACAACTTGTAGTGCTACATATTTGAAGAGGAGAAAAGAACACAACACCTCAGACAAAGGCAACTTCGAAAAGCAGCTAACATTAGCTTTCTGATTGTTAATGTCTTGTATCACTTTAATACCATGTCAGTGTCTCATATGGCATGTATCCATTCTAGGAACTGTAAAACAGTTATTCTGGTGCGAAAGCTCCTACAAATGAAACACCAAACATTCTTGAGAATCTAACAGACACAACAACAGCCATTGAAAGTTTGCAAGACCACTGTGACACGTCTGACCTGTGAGAAAATAGTTGATGCTACAATGTATATCAAGAGAAAACCAATGTTTTTTGGATGTAAACCTATTGTAGCAGACCTCCAAACCTAAATTAAGAACCTTTAGAATAGCATAATAGGGGTACTTTAAAACTAATCTTGTGCACCATCCCACACACCCACTGCAGGGTTCTGAACAGGCACATAGGCACAGAGGTTTATGGTTATGACAGTGAAGGGGAAAACCTGAATGAGAGAATTTGATATTTTGATATATCACAGGTGATATATCACATTTCTTCTTCAGCAACAACAGACAACCACTGTGATTGTCAACCCTAAAGAACTTGCTGAATTTCATGACCTCATGGACAACCCTGTCTTAAAGCAAGCCTGCCATGCTTTTTGTTCTTAAAGGGACAAAGGTTACAAAGAGACAGTGGCTTCAATCAGGTAGGGTTGTGGGAATGACCTGCTAACTGATCTGGGACAGAGTCTTCTCTTAAAGGTTCGATGGCTCCAGATGAGTGCTGTGACTGGCTAGAGCAAGACAGATGAGAAGACTGGCTTTGCAGGTCCTCTTCTCCCTCTGCTTTGGATGCCCTCTTATCTCGGCTCTGCTTTGCAGTTGGATCTTTCACCAGCCGCGGCTCCTCCAAGGTCCACATACTGTCGTCTTCATCCTCCTTGCCCTGAACCTCCCTGTCAAAGTCCAGCAATTCTTCCATCATGTCTTCAATCTCCATTTCACCGTCGATCTCTTCTTCTTCCTCAGATCGAAGTTCCCCCATGCTCTCTGTCCGGTTGGTTGCATCGGCATCATCTTCATCCACTCGTCCCTCCGGCTCGCTGGCCTGGCTCTCGCCAAACTCCAGGATGGTGGGAAGGTTGCCCTGTTTGGGACAGCGCTTCCGCAGGCTCACCAGAAACGGTTGTGGGAGGGAGAAGATGTCCACGTTGTTTCCCAGGTCTATCCAGGTGACGCTGGGGAAGCTGTCAGGGTCCTTCAGTGTGTCTGTGAGCTCTTTGAGCACAGCGCGGGTCAGCCTGTTGCCATTGAGAGCCAGAGTCTCGAGGCGAGGAAGCGATGCCAGTGTAGGGAGGAGCAGGAGGAATGCATCGTCTGTGAGTTCGGTGAAGCCCAGCTCTAGGCTACCAATGCGAGATGCGTAGTGGTGAAGGTAGGCACAGAGACGCTCCATGTCTTTCACTCCAAGCGGGATTCCAGACAGGTCCAATGTCCCACCAGATGGAGGACTTGAAAGAACCGATTTAAGACTAGGGAAGAGAAAAAAAGCAAAAGAAAGGGTAAAAATGTGAGTTTCTTTCATTTTTTTATAAAAACAGAGCAAAAGAACTGAAAATATTAACTAAAATTAAATGCTTAGCAATGGAAAGAAAATATTAAGAATTTGCTGACTGACTTCACTAGTAAATTCATTAGTAAGCAAAACACACATGTCTGGATTGTTATCCTCTTGAGTTTTGTAATGTACAATATTATATACTGTCATTTAAATCCACTACTCGGCCCAATCTCATTTTTATTTTTGTACCCCAACCCCTTTTCCTCCCCCTTCTCCCTGGCCCTTGAAACAGAGTGTGAATTTGTCATGATATGCCATCATATGTCATCGCAAACTCTTGCTTCATATGAGATCGATGATCAAGACTGTTATTCCAGTTGCATTATTTTTTGGTATTTATCTTCAGAAAACCACTGAAGGCATATACCATGTTATCATGAGGATATAATGTGGCAGTAAGATCGTAACTGCCCTGTATTTACACGAGGCCATATTCATCTATGTAGACACAGACACCAGACACTGTAAAAAGCTCATTCCCAGCCACTAGACTTTTCTGACAGGGTATTCGAGAGTCATCAAGTGACATATGTGACATTATGTTGTGGGACTAGAGTAGACTATAGGAGTACAGGAGTTTTTATTATTAGGGATTATCAGGCATGGTCTCAACCTGTGCAGCCAACATGCCCTTTTTTCTCTTGGACAAAAAGTGCCCTTAAAAAATGAACTTAAGTGCTTTTCAGTTCACGATCATCTTCTAACCCTGACCCCCTTGCTCTTCAGTTTACGATCGTCATCCTCCCCCAAACCCCCCCCCCCCCTCCTGCTCTTCAGTTTGCGATCGTCTTCTATCCCATACACCACCAGATCCACATCCTTTCCTCCCCGCTCTTCGGTTAGTTTTTTTTCAGTACATGCCCCTTTGAAAGTATCTATTGAGGATTATAGATAGTAAAATTTTGCGTTTTTTAGTTTAGCGTTTTGTAAAAGCATGACTGTAAAACACAAATACTGTTATAAATGTATTAAAAAATGTGTTTGTTTGTAAACAATTGTAATAACGACAAAAAAAAAAAATTGTGCATCTCCTGACCTTCGTGTACAACCATGCTGTCGCTGTAGCTGTTGGTGTCGAGTGTGGACCTGAAAATTCTCAGTTTCTAGGGGTATCTAGCCCTTCTCCTTAGCCCTATGCCTTCAAGCAAAAGACAATAGAGACACCCTTACCACTTCAAGTGAACACACAAAACAAGGAGTAGGGGTAAGGGGAAGGGCTAAGAATTGGGATTGGTTCTAACTCTACCCCAAAACATATCCCTTAGAGAAAACTTCATTGTACTAGTTATACTAGAAGTATAACTTTAAACTCTATTTACTGACAAAAACAGGTGTACTAAAAACTTTTTGACTCCACATTTGCAGAGAAGCTCCGCTCACATAATAAATCGGCTAAAGCTGTTTTAAAATAAGAACTTTTAGTGCAGAGACTGCAGTCATTTCCAAATACAAAAACTATTATACTTGGATAGTTAAAACTACCTCTTCTAAAATGTCTGCTAACAGAATTCTACAAATGAAAGTACTTGAACTGCTACAATTACTGCCATCAGCGCCTTGTGAATCTATTCCAGCTTAACTGACCAGACCCCTATACAAGGGTGAAAAAGAGCTTTAGAAAAGCCAATGCAACTTCATTTTTGAAACCTACGCCAGCGTTCACTTTTTATTACAACCTATCAAAGACTCAGGATATCGGCTCACTGAGAGAAATTGAGTTCTGATTGAAAGGATTCATTTTCCGTAAATGCATTATGGATTCAAAATGGCCCATGGAAATACGAACAGCACAGACTTTAAGAGCTAATTTAATCATGATGTCAGTTGTTATTGTCCAATATGGATTAAGAACCAATGTGAGGCAGATAAATGGTGTGATAGTAGGGAACCGAAGATAAGAGCAGGAAGAGAAGCTGATTTATTAAGTAAAAGAGAGCAAATCCGTTGCTTTAACCGCTGCACATGCAGAAGACTCATAATAAGCTCAGTGTGTCACCACAGCTTGCCGGAGCGCGAGCAGTGAAAGTGAGAAAAGAACCGGCAAGAATACTAATTCATAATGTGACCATGGCTAATTCACTCCAGGACTTGCATATATCTTATTGAGCTGGCATTTGAGCAAGAGTGGAATAATAAGCATCCTGATTTGACATGCAATGCTCATTCTTAATGATATATTTCCTGGCCTGCTCTGATCCTGTCACTGACCTAGCAAATAAAACAGCAGCGATGTCAAGGAAATAACTAAACCAGAACAGGATATCAACTCTCCTGATATTACTGGCCGGGATCCCGAATCCCACGCTCTTTAAGAGAAAAAGCCTTTCCCTCTCTCAGCAGCCTCACCCTGAATGCATCTGACCCACTTACATTCGCCTCTGCATTTTGGATCATTTCTAAATGTTCTTGATGATCAAGGAGGAATGTTAAGCAGAAATATGAACGCTGGCTAATATAGCTCAATTATATCTTTCGTCTGATTTCGATAACTTTAAAAAACAATTTTAAAAAGGATAGAAATCTGAAAAACTTTACATGATATTTCTTCTTTACAAAACAACAAATCTGTCAGGTGTTAGATTAGATAATCCAAACGGACAATTCTTTTTTTTTTTTTAAACTAGCCATTCATTTGTTTTCAATAAATAATTATCATAAGGGCAGGACAATCTGTTACTCAAATGAAATCAAACAACAACCAATCACAACAATTCAATTCATTAAATAAAATAAAAGCACTTTTTTTTTAAAGTTAAGCCTTTAAATGTCACTTTAAGCTGTATAGAAGTGTCTTGAAAATTATCTAGTAAAATATTATTTACTGTCATCATGGCAAAGATAAAATAAATCAGTTCTTAAGATGAGTTATTAAAACTATTATGTCTAGAAATTTATTGAAAAAATCTTCTCTCCATTAAAAAGAAATTTATGAAAAAAATAAACAGGGGGCTGATAATTCAGAGGGTTTAATAATTCTGACTTCAACTATGGACAACATATTTCTTGTAATTTTGCATATAATATTGGGTGTTAACACAAACCTACACATATTATATAAATACTTTGGCCTTTAGAATGCACCTGGTTGTAATTAATCCTGGGATGGAAACACGAGTCTGTGTGTAATCAGAGATTGTGCAATTTAGTTAATGCATAATTCATTTAATGCAGCTTTTTAATTTATCTGAAATTTAAATCACTCCTTAAATTAATGCAGTGCAAAGCATGTGACAAGCAGCTCAATATTGTGTCAGTCACTTGTTTTCTGTTTCTCGTGCTTGGTTATTACAGTGCCTTTACTCTCAGCACTGTAGTTTTTTTTTACACTAGTCTAATTATCGACATGGCAGCACATGTGTGCTGTGAAAAATCCTTCCGCTGCATTCATTGTCTTTCCTGTGAAAGTAAATGAAGTCAGGTGATAACTGTGATAGACTGGAACAAAGGTTTGACTTCTATGTAGTCAGACTGAAGTTTCTCAGATATCCATAAATACAGTCCATCTGATAAAGATAAAGCACAGACTTTGAGCAGCATGTGGGTGGAGGGTGTCAGATAAACGCACTATACTGTATTGCACTTTTACAGTTCATTGATGTCATGAATAAAAGGAACTGAAAGACAAAGCAATATTCAAATGTTCTAATCTAAACTCAAATAAGAGGTAAAAAGAACTGTAAAGGTACAATTTACAAGGTTTAACAGAAAAAAAAATCTCTGAATTTTCCATTCATCAAAGAATCCTGAGACAAATGTTAGAAGTAATTTCATACACTGTAAAAAATTATATGAGCAATTAGTCCTGACAGCATATGTTTTAGGTCATTGTAACTTATTAAACTAAGTTAATCATCATCTAAATTAATTTAATTTAATTGAATTTTAAGTCAGTTTAACAATACAAGTTCACTAAACTCATTTGTTAATTTAATTCAGCTTAAAATTTCAAGGCAACCAGGATTTTTTACAGTCTAGTAATAATAATAACAATGCATTAAATCAGCATATAAGAATTACTTCTGAATGATGTGACACTGAAGACTCTTGAAAAAATGTGCTTTGGCATCATATGTATGAATCACATTTTAGGCCGAAATATTACAGTGTGTTTTTTCATCCCAGTCGTTTTTTTTTTTTTTTTTTGGTGCCCTTATGAAACAAAAAAAGTTTCAGTCTTGCACTGAGACATAAATCTCCATTTGAGCATTACCAAATACCAAAACTTCAGTTTTTACCAAGGCTTATTTTCATATATAATTTGCCTGATTATATACTTTTAAAATTTTATGCAACAAAAACAGTTTATTATTTTAAAGTAATTATTGCATAATTAAATATTGAAGGATAAAAAACAAAATGCTATCTATAAACCCTTTGAGTAAGTAAATGAATACACAAACAAATAAAAAATTAAATGGATAAATAACCAATTTCATCCTATGTTCTGATTTTGGCGTTAACATGTATACAAATCACCACATTTAACTGATGCCTCACAATTCATAAAATGGCTCATTCGCATATGCGAACATAACATTTTAGAAAATGTAATCAATCAACTTGGGGAGGTATGGTGATGAATATTTATTATTTGTATCGTTTAATATTATTTCTGCCCATTTTTTAAATATTACAATATTTTTATATAATGGTTGCCTTACAGCAAGAAGGACGCTGGTTTGGAATTTCTGTGTGAAGTTTACATGTTCTCCCTGTGTTGGTGTGGATTTCCTCCAGGTGCTCCGGTTTCCCCCACAGTCCAAAGACATGCGCTATAGGTGAATTAAATTGGCTGTGGTGTATGTGTGAATGAGAAAGTGTATGGTTGTTTCCTAGTACTGTGTTGCGGCTGGAAGGGTATTCGCTACGTAAAACATATGTTGGAATAGTTGGCGGCTCATTGGCGCTGTG